AAATGGATCTATTGGTTCTTTTGGCAGCCCATGGCACTTTCAATATTCTCCTCCAACACCATAACTCAAAAGCATCAATTCTTCGACGGTACATGGCTCAAATTCACCACCTGCTCCTCAGAAACCCTGGTGGAGTCTGTGAGTTGCTGTGAGTCAGAATGGACTTGACAGCACTTAACAACAACAACAAGAACTGGGGAAGGAGTCCAAAGCAGGATTGATACCTAGCCAAGGCAGGCAACATATGAGAGAGAACAGCAAAATTACTCAGTCCTCTTCACATTTACATATATGATTTAGTGACCACTGGGTTTTTTTTTGTGGTTTTTTGTTGATAATAGATTAAAGAGGTCTATTAATTTTTCTTCTCCGAAGTTTAGAGAATATATATGTGTGTATATATATGTGTATATATATACATATACAAACACACACAATGTTTTTTTATATGTGTTGTTGGCATAGTGTCGAGTCAATTCCAACCCATAGTGACCCTGTATAGAGTTTCCCAGGAGCAGCTGGTAAGCTTGAATCACCAACTTTGCAGTTCAAACGGATCTTGCAATCTAGTGCATTAACCCGCAGCACCACACCAGGACTCATTATATGTGTTACTTGTAGGTAATTCCATTACATTCCGTTTTAATAACGTTGCTCAATCTAAAAGCCTATGTCCTAGGTGCTGTGGCCCCTGCCTTGGCTTCCATGGCAGTTGTTTCAGATGACTGTGAAAGTCCTATGGGCCGAAGTGCTGATTAGGTCGTATGAGGACAGGAAAAGACAGACACAAATAATACACCTTCAAGGAATGTCCAACCCCAACTTCTCACTGCCATCTTGCCCTGGACAAATAGCCTCCATGTCTGACTCTTATCTCCTGGGGTGCCCATTCTAGACTTCTATTCCATCTGAACAGAGAAGAGTGAAGTCCAGAAAGCAAACAGGGACGTTCACTATGACTTCAGGACTACCCACCATCATCCTCTGCTCCTAACATCCCATCCAGCAGCCCAGTAGTCAGGCAGGATCAGCTGCTCTGGGCCCTTCTTTGCTCTTAGGCCTTCAGTGCCTCCCTCCTGGCCTCTAGTGAGCTCCTCTCTTCCAAGCACTGAGATGATCCATGAAAAGAGGAAGAATCCTGAAATGCTCCCATCAGGCCCCCCTGAACCCCGTCCTTTCTGGACTCTAGGAGCGTCTTCAGGGAGGCACATTTTGCAGTTTAATTTTGCTTTTATTTTTTGTGCTTATGTAAATAATGTATGCTTCGTATCGAGAAATTAGCTCAAACAGAAGGATCAACAGTGCTTTGCTTCTAATCCCATCTGAAGAGAACCAATGTGACCCTTATATAACTCTAGCCTTTTTTATCCCTTCACATGCATAAAGGTACATCTTAAACTTGATTCTTACAACAAATTATTACATGTAAACAAGGTGATATGCAAACACACAAGATAATTTTGTTTTAGGATAGTGCTTTTCAACTCATTTAAAATTATCTTTAATGTTATTTCATCTTTGAAGTAAAAAGGTAATTATAATTATGCCCTACTTCTAATGTGATTTGGCCTTCTATCTATATTAACTTTCTATGGCTGCCATAACAAATCACCACAAAGTTAGCAACTTTAAAAAATGCAAACTTATTGTGTCATAGTGCAATTGTTCCTAAATCCAAAAGGCTTCAGCTAGTTTCTTGGCCAAA